ACAATAAGCCTTTCTCTGTCCATGCCATACAGAGGTAATGACCATGGTGGAACCACAACACATATAATTCAAAGGGGACACTGATAGGACTAGAAGAAGAAAGGCACGTCGGCGTTCCCGCTGCGAGTCCAATACGCCAGACCGCTGATTATATCACGGGACAAGAGTGGATCGCGCTCCGTATAGGCCGATAATACTATGTATACGAGGAAGTAGAACCTCAACTGCCTCACCTACTATAGTTTCATGGGTTCTAAACTCTCGAGGACTCCAAGCGACGAGTGCGTATCCTGGCTGCTTACAAGGGCGGTTCCGCACCAACAGGTGCGGAACGCACGATGTAAGAGCCTCAAGGCCAACCCCAACCCCAAACTCATAACCTGTTGGCAAGGGAGACCAGCCGACCGAGTCACTTAGGCGTCAGGCGGCTGGGACAGGACCTTTTTTTATGTTGCAGAATAACGGGAGCTGCAGGGACGCGCTCGTGGCTGAAGAACCCAGAGGCAAGTCGAGCATCAACAACCGGGGCCCACAGGTAATGGGCAATCTCAGGCAACGGACTGAGCAGCCAGGCCATGGCGGTCCATCGTAGGGACAGACCGCAGAACGATAGGACAGCGTATCAGGATTCTTTCGGGACTTGTACATAAGGAACCGTTAGTATGATGTCAAATGAACCCGGCCTCTGAAGTTATAGTCCTGCTTCTGGACTGGTTGGTTGCCTCATCAGTTGAAAAGGAGACCGCGAAAGGAGATCAACAAGAGAGGGGGGAGAAGAAAGAAAGATCTATTGTCCCTGTAGCCTTCGATGCAGCTAATAACCATCACTGCCTCCTGACGTAGACGCTACGCTCTCGTGGAAGCAGTATGTCACTGCATTAGCAAAACCAACAAACTGGCTGGAGATTTGCAGCGCTGCTGATAAAGAAGTATGCGTCTTGGCACCAGAAGCCTCTATGATTCCGTTCAGCAGGCTGGGGATCCAGAGAATGATATATAGGATGGGACATGATTTCAGCAGCATCATGCGCTTGGCGCGCCGCTCTAACGTCCGGGACTGCTTTTCGATGAAAAAATTAGCCATCATTGCAGCCGTGACGTCCAACAATACACCGTCGTTTACAACGGTGGTGCCCCGGCCGGAGTTCCGTCTGTACCCTCGCAGGCGGGCAGCTATCCACGGTTGAGGGGTGTATGACCGGCTTGCACTCCCGCCTCCGCTGTTGTATTCTGTCGCGTCCTCCCCGGTGGTGAATTCCGGGCGAGGCCTGACTAACCGAGGCCTGACTAACCGAGGAAGCCTTGCCGCAAGTGACTTCGTGGCTCGTGGAGGACGTCGTCCACCTACGGCCCCAACGTGTTGTTGTCTCTCTGCGGTGCCTAGTAGACCTATGCCCGCCCCCTTCGGTTCGAGTACTTTGCTCGCGTCCGGATCGTCCTCGTCCTGCTGCCACGCCCCCAAGCGTGCCGTCATGCGTGGTGTCTTTCCCTTGCGGACACCGGCCACGGACGGAGCACGCGGGGCCAGCTGCCCAGCCCTCTGCGCACGTTGCTCACCAGCAGTACCACCACACCTGCTACCCGATTTCCCTGAATGCCTGGATGGAGCATGCTCTGAGTTACTGGAGAGGAGAGACCCCCAGCAACTCATAGTCGTACCCCACACCAGCCCGGTTTGTGTTGACCTGTCTCCTTTCGGCTTGAGCACCTCGGTTGCAGTAATGAACAAGGTCGTCGTCATGCGCACTGTCGATGATCCAGCATCGCACGAAAGCCAGGATGTACTAGCGGTTGCGCGAAGATGTTGGCTGAGATATCGCCAGACAAAAGCGTAGATGCAAACGGTAGTGAACATGATCCACAGACGCCAGACATGGGCGAGGGCAAATCGAAGGTCGGGCCGGTCCCGCGTGATCCAGCACCAGTTCCCGCTGACCGGTTCCATCACGCCCATCCTGGCGGCCAAGGCACTAGTAATCATGGGAACAACCCACACGCAGCAGCAGATGGATAACTTCTCAAGTGACGAGCTATCCGCTATACTTGTTTGCCGCCTTATCACCAGAAATGTGGCTATAGCGATAGCGAGGATGGAGAAGTCGGATGCTTGCACCGAGAGCTGACCAACCACGCCGTTCAGGACGCACGCCGTTGCGCGTTGTAATCTTTTGTCCTTGACGTAGATGATCCCCGAGATAGTGTTGTTGGCTGAGTTCGTGACTTCTTTGTGTTCATGGTCGTTATCGTCAGCGTTCCATCCCGCCGAACATTGATATCGACAGGAGAACACCTTACCGGCTACCATGAGGTTAAGAATCAGGGTGTGCCGTAGAGACCGGCGTCGAGTACGATGTAGACCAATAAAGATCAAAGCGCTCAGGGTCGTTAGGAATGAAAGACTACTCCCTATGAGGGTCATGGACGCCACCAGTATGTTGACAGCCATTATCGGCAGACGGGCCGTACACCCATAGCCCAATACCAACCAAGATGCATACGCAGGAACTCTTATTTCCTTTTATCCTATTTGTGTTTTTCTGCTTTTTTCCTTTTTTCTTTTTTTTTTTTTTTTTAGGAGGGGGGGTTGGGTTTCTTTGCGTTAGACTGGTATGCAAGGTAATGAAAGCTGTTTAGCTAGAACTTAAGTAGCTTTGTGCTCTCGGAGGCGGGTGTCTATGCACGGGGACCCTTCCCGCTTTATCCTTTTTCTTCTTCTCCCTGCCCCCGGGCCATGAAAGTTCAGACGCGACTTTTGATACTTAGCAGTGGTGACGCCTACACCGTGAATCTCCCCGGCCGATGCAGGCCGATGCAAGCCTATTCCTCAACTCTTCGGTCCGTGAAGTCTCACCGAGTGCCGGTGTCTTGATTGGCCCGTCCGCCTTCCTCCTCATCACTAGCCCGGTCGAGCGTCCATACCTTATCTCAGGCGTCTCCAGAGCAGCAAGGCGCGACAACAGGACGGCCAAGGCGCCGGCGATGCCTGTTAGATGCAGATCGCCCCATTCGGCTGCCCAGAGACCCCGGTATCCTTATGTGCTGCCGCCAGCAGCCACTTGCTTGCTGCCTAGCCTACGTAGCATCTGGGAGCGTAGTCTCCAGCCTTCAGGTGCTACGACGCCCACACATAGCACACAGCAATGCGGCGTACTGTCCCGAGATATGACTAGGGCCATTCAGCAACCGACACATGTGCCTAACAACGGCTGAGGTTGCTGAGGATTGCGACGAGGATGGTGATGGGCTCATGAGCCGCACGTAGGACCGGGCCCTGTCCCATGCGACAGACTCCGGGAGCCCGGGCAACTTATTGATTCTTTCGTAAATAAAGCCTGAGGTCTGCTAGGTCAGGGTGGTGCGCATGATGTTTCGCCGTCCCTGAGGTAAGTTCTCTTCTACTATGGGCATGCTGAGCTGCTGTGTGTGACGTGGGGATTGAAACAAAGAAAGGAACCCACGGTTTGGATCAACGGAGACAGAAAACGGGTGTCCCACTGAACAACGTAATACGACAGAGGCGGCTGGGCGCAGCAAATAGAGAAATGCCAATGCCTCGAAGCGTTCCTCCCAGCCGCCCTCCGTCGGCAGCATGCCGGGGAAGCCAGGGCGAACATAACACGCCTGTGGTTTCTTTCCAGTCTCTCCATGGGTTTCCGTTGGTTTTCATACTGCGACCGGGAGCGTGCAGCGGACAGGACCAGTCCCACTTTATGTTACACGGGTAACTACCTTACCTCAAGCGTGATTAGACCGAGAAAATGGAAAATCTGCACCCGTCCTCCGTCCCTGTGAGTTAAACTACATGCTTCATCTAGATCACCTTACTAGTGTTAAAATCAGCGCGTAGAGCTGATTATCCAGCCTGATAGGGCACGGTTGAATGCGTATTTTTGAGTTGTACAAGATACATTTTAACAGTACTCTCTACGGTCGTCATCCTAAAACCTCCCCGTTTGCGCGGTTTTAGGTTGCCTACTAATATGATCATGATAACCCCTTCATAGCCAAGCTATCCGCGCATTGCATCGTCCACAATGCCAGTTTCTCGTGTGTAATACCGAGTCGTCTGCCTTCCGTAGACTGAAATGCGCGCCACGTTCCTAGTCGCCATTCATCTCCTCTAAACTCAACTCTTTCAGCAGCCTCCGTGAGTGCCATCCCCCAAGTCTTCAACAGTAGGGGCTGGTCACCGCCAGAACCCGGAACGAAAACCACGTATCTAAGCGAGCGATCACCAACAACCAGCTGTTGTCGGATGCTGTGAATCGTCAAGTCTGAGGGGGTACTGCAGTCAGAGCAATCCCGGCTTCAACTTCCCGCTCACTAATCAACTGCCGTGATGGCGTACCCAGCTCTCCATCTCGGCATGCAACATGCCATTCAGCTACCGCGCACGCTTCTACCTGAATTCACGTAAGGCATTGCTTTAATCGTACTTCGTACTCCGTACCACGTGACTATACAAGCATGTAAACGCAGCCTAAATGGTATGTAGCTATGTTGTTAAGGTGCTATCGAGAGGTATCCTGGCTTAATCAGCATATCTACATCACTGCTTCATCCCCCACACTCTCCTGGGAGGGACTTGGCACGTCTCCAAGGACGAGACTCCGAATAAGTCCCAGGGTGGGGAGAGTGACTCGCAAGTCCGGTCCAGCAGCAAATACAGCCGGACAGCGTATTATTGCGTACACTAAGCAGGCCCACCTCTGCCCCTTCGTATCTGTTTAGAGAGGAGAGAGCCAATTTTATATGACGCTCGTCGCAGCAAAGGATACCAGACAGCATCTACTCAACAGCAATCAACAACAGAGCCAGACAGGAGCGCATCCCGTAGCTTGTGAAGTAAGCACGCCCGCTCCATCTTGAAGCGGGGCTAGCATCTCTTAGCTACGGGGCGGTCCACTACACCAGCGGCAGCCGTCACAGGCATCAGAGGGGGCTGCGGTGAGCAATTGGGTATTCCATATCACAAAATGAAATGAACGCCAAGCTTCCTTCTACTCACAGAGTGACTCTTTGAGCATTAAGCCGGTGACCTCACAGCCCGCCCCAAGGGTTCGACTCGCAATCCTCAACATCTCTGTCAGAAGTTCCGTGGACGCAACATACGTCATTGGCCGCAGTATAGCGGGCGCGTTCAGCGAAAGGACATTGGCCAGCGAACGTCCAACATGGGATACCCTCTCCAAGATGCCGACCCTATTTGCGGCAAAGGCCGTCCGGGGTAACAGTTGGAAGACGAGGACCATGTCTCGGGCTATACTCAGGGGGTATCCCAAGGACATACTCTCGCGAGAGTCTGAGCCTGCTAACGTCGTTACGGACAAGCACAGCTGCCATACAACGTTCTTAAGCCATCCGCGTGTGATCAGAAGCTCGGCTTGCTGTGTCTCGGGGTAAGCAGACACGTTGATGAGGCAGTTTGACAAGGCTGTCTGTAGTCGTGCCAGCCGCTCAACCTCTGCCATCCCCGCCAGCCTCATCGTCGAACTTGTGGCGGAGGAGTTCCAGGCGGTAACGAAACTGGCATCGATAGTCCACAGGAGGGATATAAGGTCCCGAAAACCGGGCAGAACACATGCACCAGCGTCTGCTGCTGGAGGAGGGTCGGCGCGGGGCAGGCCTATCGTGGGCTGCAGCGTAAGAGGCTTGTATTGCTGGATTGCGAAGACCCGTTCCGCGACAAAGAGAGCCCAGAACGCACGCCTGGCATCCTCCGCGACGGACCGGTCAGACGTCTCCTCGTAGGTGGCCTCTTCGTGGTATCTCAATGTCTGGAGCATGGTCACCGCTTCACGTAGGTAGAACCATGCCGCGGGGTCCTTGCCGAGGCTAGAGTATGCGCAGTGCAAGAGGAGGGAGGTTTGGATTTGCGTGAGAGACTGATTCTCGGCCAGGCGGTAGAAGCGCCTCGAGCGCAGCGCTTCCGAGATCAAGAGGTCGACCGGCGGCTCAGGGAGGCTGCGTATACTGCGCTGGGGAGACGGTCCTGGCGGATCGGCAGAGGCCGACGATATTACATCCCCGTCCGGCACAACAGTGGCGCAACAGGACGCGAGAACGCCATAGCATCCAGGGCATTTGGCGAAGTTGCACATGTACTCCTCGACGCGCGCCCTGTCTATCACGGGCATGATGGGATACCTGAATGCCAGATACGTGTCGAGAGGCTGCCTAATTACGTGAGACGACAGTTGCGGCGACGGCTCGAACGTCTCCTCCGTCCCGACCACGTCCCGATGCAGCCCGCACGTCAAGCATGGTCGGGCGACGCGCCCGGGCGCGTGCGGAGTCCTCGACGCCGAATCGCCACGGCGAGGACCCGGCGCCGGACCCGTCCGTCTTCGATGGTCTGGTCTCTGCCCGTACCTAGGTCCCTTGGGTCCTGGTTTCTTGCGGAGCGCGTTATATGTGCAGGTGCTCCCGGACAAGCAACAGTTGATACATCGGTGCCGCCCATCGCACCGGACCTTGCGGACGTGGCAGGCATCGCACGCCTGTCTGACTCTTGTCGCTCGCCGTCGCCTGAGCATGGGCCCAGCTTCTGATGGTGACATGTCGCCCCCATTGACGTGACCCACAAGTGGAAGACGTGAGCAGTTATCGCGTCGGTCATCGACGGCATCTGCTCGCATGCATGCACCGCGGAATGCTTTACCACGTTGACGGTCGGCCTGGTCAAGCCATCAACCACGCCATCCCCTCAGTGCTAACCCTGGCTAGGTATTATGTTATTGAGCTCGCCACTCGCGGGTATTTGTTTCGCTGCACTTAACCCCGCTATCCTTATCTTGAACCCGACCTCTGGTTGCTTCCAGCGTTGAGGGTTGCCGGGAAAGCAACAGAAAAAGGGGAAGAGAGGGGGGCGTACGGAGAGTAGGGTAGCAGCGCCGCCTAGCGAGGATCAAGGCCGCAGCGTTGACACACTTGCAGTGCCTGCCCGGACAAAGGACAGAGTTTTGGGAGGGGTTGTCGCACAGCGGCAGAAATTAACCGAAACCTAGGCAGACGTGGATTGCCGGATATGTCTTTCTATATTCTCCCCGCCGTCGACCTATTTACCGGTCTGGCCTCTAGAATAAGGCTTCACCTAAAAGGTCGCCGTGCGCGAGATCAGAGACATTGACCACGACAGGCATCGATCGCGACGGCTTGTTGCCGGCCGAGGGGTTCCTGGCTGGAGTGACAGGACGCCTACGACGCGGAAGGGGTTAGGGCGCTAGGGTGTAGCTCTGAGGACGGACTGAACTCGCCCGGCAGGCCCGGCAATCTCCTAGAAAGCTCTGCTGCTTGGCGGCCAAACCCTTTGACAAAACACGCCGCTCCCGGTGGTGGGGGGCCTGTTAGGGTGTGACTAAGTATGGATACGCTGTGTTTAGTCTAAGGCCCAACCCCCGGGGACGATAAGTGCGAGAACATCCACCACTCCCAAGGGGGGTATACACATAGAACTCGGCTCCCAGACACAACGGCATTTGCTGGTATAAGGGGGTTGGTGGGGTGGATTACGAGACCAAAAAACAGGAAGAAGGGGAAAGATATGTATATATATATATATATATATATATATATATATAAATAAAAATATAAAAAAAATGAGGGAAAAAAGAGGCGTGTGGGTGAGAGGGGGTTGACGCTGCGGTTCGCTCTGTACTACTTCGTACGCCGAGCCAGGCGTAGTGATAACCACACTAGGGCTACGAGCTCAGCCCGTCTTGGGCCAGGAAGTTAAGCCAGCCTTGAAGGAGATAGATACTCTATAGTCGACCCAATTCTTACGGACAACAGAACGCTTAAACACCCCCCCTCACCTAAGGCACCGGACATTCAATTCGATACGTAGATACGAAACGCAACGGTCTGACGCTGTTCATATAGTACTACAGCGGTTGAATCATTAGTGTTAAATTAGCAACCCAGCCGCAATTAGCAGCAGATATCGTCTAAACAAGAAGCCAATGGAACTTTACACAATACAAGGCCATAATACTGAGGATAACAGCATGATGTAGAGTATAGTATGAGTATTTATATCGTGTCAATATTTGATGTGTGTTACACAAGATAAAACACATAGGTACGGTGTGTGTGTTATCTTATCCTGTTTCCTTATGTTGAACCATATACTTAGCTTCGTAAGTTATTATACCATTTCTAATTAATATACATCACATCAGGTGAACTTATGCGCAGCTATACATATATTGAGAAGGCTAGGTTCCTCGAACGCTATAGACCTAACGCGGACAACGCGCCCATTACCTCTAAGATAGCGAGCGTGGTTAATGTGCCTTAGATAGTAAACGTTCAAGGTGCCCTCACTGCGTTACATACTAACACGACCAATAGACGCGTTTATACTACATCTCGCTACGCATCTTATCGTTAAAATCTACAGTTTTATATTGTAACAGAGTAGATACATATAGCTCCAGGTCCATATCAACAACTATATTATTATCTTTAATAGATTTCATCATCAGTACATTAACCTACTTCAAGAATTTCCCTCCTATCCTACGTCATCTTAGAAAGGTTATCAGTATAATTCAAATTACCTTACAGTTCCTTGAACAACACAGTCGTTCAAATAGGACCCCTATACACCAAGTGCCTGACCATCAAATGCAACCCCGGCTTTATGCTCTACAAGCATTATGCTAGTGGCATACTCAGAATAACCACATAGCTATTTATCTATACCTAAACAAAGAACTTAATATATCAAGCTCCGTAGTAATTTTGCTAGCTCTTACAATACAGGGAGACACTTAATCAATCCCTCTACAAGCGTTTCACAATGCTCAGACTGGAATGTCTCACATGTTACTACTTACCATGTAAGTATCATTAGCTATCATTGCCAGGTAATATTCTGCATAGGTCTCGAATCCCTCTCCATTCAACGTTTCCCTTCTACGCCCCTAGTAGCGGCATAAAGCATATGAGTTATTAGTAGTCTAGGAGCGTTGAAAGCTAGATATATACCCTGACAACGACGCCTCTATAAGGGCAGGTAAATTAGCAACGCATGCGACCAAAGTAAGCAAAGTGAGACTATCACTACCACCCAATCAATCAAGTCCACATCCCTCGATCGAATTGGAATATTTAATGTGTTATGCTCCTCATGCACAGACTAATAGAAGTCTATAGCTCTGTGTGATGCCATACTTATAATATCACCTGCGTGCGGGCATACGTGAGGGCATTTGTGAGGGTATATAGAGCTGTAGATACCCTTTATTTCACCCGATTAGGAGAGCAATACAATGTCAATTTACATAGTAACTGTTTGTTTCGGGTTTAAGTTAGCCAAGTAACCTAAGGGGAAAAAAAACAAAAAAAAAAAAGAGCTAAGTTGATAAGTGGTCCAGTATGACGGTCGAATGGCTTTGATTGCCCTTGTGGAGGCGCTGCCTGACAAGCCTTTAGTAATAAGAAAAACAACAACAATATTAACATTAATAACAACAACATCAACATCAACAAACCCTTCTCTCTCCCTCTATCCCTCTATCCCTCTCTCTATATATGTAACTCACAAATACACCACGTATATGGTATTCAATCCACCAAGTTCATATGTTGTATCTGAGTTATACAGTATCTTCTCAACTCTCTACATTCAGTAGCGCTCTCAGGTCACTGCGCAAATGTTCATCTTCAACATAGCGTTGTCCATCTATATCCAGAGCGGTAGGGACATTGCCTCATGGCCAAGTTAAGGCGGACCCAGGCGGCCGCGAGGGCCGGGCGATAGATACGCAGCAGCTTTGGAGCCTAGGAGCTCTGTCCCGCTGAGTGCCTCCTTCCCAACGCCTGAATTGTCTGAAACATAGAATGATGCTGGTTGCATTTATCCGTTTAGTCTGTGGTAAAAACCTCAGAAGAGGACCGGGGTTAAGACAGGATGCGTGGGTCCTACGAGAGCTCGAAGCGATAGTTCATGGCGAAATCGGACGGGCCTTCCCAAGTGCTGGAAGCCGATGGAAATGACGCCCTGGGACCACGTTATAGAGTTTGACGGAGTAAAGGTTGAATGGTGGGACTAATTAGAGTATCAGTGCACCTGTATCACGGTCTCAAAGATTAGTGCGGTCCCCACAGGGCTTCCCTGCATGCCTTTCGACAACCCAAAGCATACCTAAACGCCCAAGGCCCCATCCCCAGCCCCCCCTACAAGCTCTATAATAGCCATCTCACGCGCGTTGCAAGAGTCATTGAGCTCAAAAGCACGTTAACCAGAAGAGTGTAACTTGAAGATCTAGGCCTGTTATTCTCATAGATCAGAGTCTTGGTTGTGATCGCAACGTCCCCGAATGCACACTAGGGGCCTGTGGAACGACCAGCCACCTAGTCTAACCTGACCAACATAGTAAAGGGCCAGGTTACGCGCGTACTTTTCGTAACCTCCAAAGCAGGCCTCGTTACTCATTACTAGTGGATCAAATCATTCGCAGCATTGCCCGTGCCCGTCTGAGGTGCACATCGCGAGCACAACCCTCCTCCGGTACGGTAGTCCTATGACAGTACAATCTGCAAAAGATATAATGTAGCGAAGAGCGACTGGAATGCATCCGGCGCTGAGGCGGTGTTGGGAAGGGAGGGGGAAATAGATGAGAAAAAAAAAGAAAAAAGAAAACAGGAAAAGAAAATGAGAAAGAAAATCTAAGAAAAGGGGAAGGGGGCGGGGGTGTGGGGGAAGGGCCGGGGGCGACCGCGACGCTGCATTCTCAGGATATGCAGCTCAAATCAAAACCACAGAACACGTCGGCCTGGTTATGGCGGCTGTGAAGATGATTCGTCAGTCTATGTCTTAAGACATGCGGGTACAGGCTTCGTTCTCGACGCGAAGAGGATCGTCTCTACGTAGCAGAAGGCAAGGCAAGTCTGTATATCCAGAGGACAAGACCCTTGGAGCTGCTGACTCGGCAGACTTAGTAATACATAGGACGTGTGGGAAGCTATGATATGCTGCGCCAGAAGCCTGCTCATCCTCATGAGGCCTGTGGGTGTCTCGTTAGATAAACGTTTCGCCTTTACCAACTCGTTTTCTTTCCCTCGTCCCTTTTCCCCATCTTCTCCCTTTTTCTTTTTCTTTGTTTCTCTGTTATATTCACGAACAGGCGATGGTCCTTAGTAGTGTGTAAGATAAGCCTACAACCAAAGCGGAAGATTATCTAAAGACATTAGAGGCTGACATAACCAACTTGAAGAAGGCTGTATCGCATTTAGCAGAGATTGAATTATAGTACAAACGTCTCGTTAACTACTGAAAAAGTGCAGGGTCCTAAAATGCTGCGCAGCTTCAAGTACCCGCAATAACCGGACTATCAATGGATGCGGATAGGGCTATGTAGGTCGTCATAAGCCATCTATAGCCCAGTCTGGGGTGAGGTATAATACACTATATATACCTTACTACCTAGACGTACCTCATGTGGCGTGGCGCGTACAGGTACGTGTAGGATGCAGTATAAGGGCCCCACCCATATAATGGTTCACCCCGAGGCCCGGATCGCCAGATCTAAGTAGGCGTGTGGCGTTCCCACGTGTTGATAGATGTGCTGCGATGTTCAACAGCAGCTATGGCAGGAAACGGCCCGATGCCCACTAACGTGGGAAACTTCCCACGAACCTCGACGGCTATGTGTTGCGCCCCAAGACCGACTTGAAGGCGTCGCCTGTCAGGCCGGACGCAGTGGATACCTAGGGTACCTTAGTGTAGATGCCATGCCTCCCGTGCGCGGCTGCCGGGGATGACCAGTGCTTACCTAGAAGCCCAGGCTGTACGGCCCCGGGCCCTGGCTGTCATAAAAGTCCAGAACCCACTGGCTCCGCGGCGTCATCGCCACCGACGGGCCTGATCCCAGCTGGCGCATTTCCGACTTGTAGACGGCGTTTCCCGTGGCGCTGGACGAATGGCCCTCGGCGTCGAAGCCGAAGCCCGGCGCACCCATCTGGGCCCGAAGGACGCGCACGGCGCCGGGCATCAGTCCCGTGGCCCCTTCTGGCATTGGCGGCTGCGCTGCCTCGGTGTACTGCCCCGGAATGACCAGGTCGCTCGCGTCCACTTGCAAACGAGCGGGCTGCTGTTGGGGGGACGTTTGGTATGCGCTGGAGGTGTAGTCGTGCTGGGGACGGACGGTGGTGTACATAGTTACCGGGCGGTCGCCGCCGCCGCCGCCCCCGCTGTCGTTGACATTCCTGCGCAGGTGGATATGCATGGCATCCGTGGACGACGACCGGGTCGCGGTATTTAGTTCACAGCTGATGTTGCGGCTGCAGCAGCGCGTGCACGGCTTGATCTCGTCGCACTTAACTCGGGCAGCAGCACAATGCCGGCAAGCGTAAGAGACGCGACCAGTCCCCGGCGGAGTGCTCGAAATGCCTCGTCCCCAGCTGCGGCCGCGCCTGGTATCGTGTTTGGCAACGTGACGTCTCAGGATATCTTGACGAGCGAACGCCTTGCAACACAACAGGCACGTGAACCGCTTGCCGAGAGTGTAGGTTCGGATGTGGCGCGCGAGGTACGCAGGCCTTGAGTATCGGCGCCGGCAATGCGGGCACTGGTGGAGGCCGGCAACAGCGGTGTTGTTTCCGTCGTTCCTACCCGAGAAGGGGAGTGTACCTGACGATTCGCGACACTGTAGCGCGGCCGGTGACGGCGAGGAGCCGACCGTACCCGGTTCAGGGGCGGAAGCCGGGGACAAGCCGCTAGCGGCGGCCGTTAGCACCGACCTTACGTATACCGGGCCGTTGTCATAGGGGTCTGCGAGGGGAGGAGTCGTCGGTGTCGTTGTCGTCATTGTTGTCGTCGTCGTAAGGCATCCGTCTGACATTCTCGCTAGGGAGTCTGGCGTACAGGAGGAGCGGTTCATGGCGCTGAAGTGATGAGATGTCGGCTATGCTGAGCCAACAACCACGGACCATTTGCCAATGTGCTCTTGTCATACGCGGCTCGCTTATATATCAGGCCCAGAGGCGGAGACGGACAGGCCTGCACCCAAACAAACAATCCTGAAAGGCTCGTATCGCTGGAATAGCGATGTCCCGTCAGGACACAACTGGGGAGATACAGCAAAAAATCAACCTATATAAGTGGTGCCATGGCCGATCGCCGCGGTAAAAAGAGCTTCATTTGCTAGACAGGGCTGTCCTGACTCACGCGCAGAAGCCGTATTTGAATTCCGCGTCAAATTGAATTGTGTAGCATATCGACTACCACATGTACAGCAGTCAGCTATAGCGCATCAGAGCTGGAGCGTCTATCCTGGCCTCAAACGTAGACACCACGACCCTACGCAATACAGCCAACTACTCCCTCTTCTACGCGCAGCATACGAAGCCGATGACGAGGCAGCCGGCAATACTCCCGTGACATCGGCCATCTCCGAAACGATCGGGATCGGCGTCGGCGTCGGGGTCTGCGGTCTGTCACCGGGCCTATCATAGTGTAAGAGACTCACTGCGGCTTAAGCGCGCCTCTAGCGGCGGCAGTGGCGGGCAGAATATGGTCGTAGCTACTTTAGGCCCGAGCTAGCCAGTCTGAACCTGGAAATCCCGCCACCGCCCCCGCTCCCCCTCCCAAAAAGAGTCATCCTGGGGTCTACTAAGTAACTGCGTTGACGTCGTCTACTCCGGAAGACGCATATACCTAGCGCATATCAGCGTGCGCTGGTGACGACCCGTCCGTCCGTTCTAAGGTATAGCAGTATAAGAGCGGGGGTGTAACGCCCTATATCCTACATTCCGAGGACAATGAACACCCACACTTAAGCATCGCTAAGTGCTATCCGGCCTATACTAGCATTGATCCTACTGAGCAGGTCTGGCAACCCTAACCCTACGACCAACCAGCGTGAACCTCGGGAGACACATAGTCGCCCTTGGCTTCCTGCTTCGATCACAGGATTCAAAGCTGCCGATCATGGAAGCTGTCTAGCATTAGGTACGGACAGCTCCGTTCAGCTGGGAGTGACCCCGCTTGTGGGATGGAATATATATATATACCCATATGTGTATAGAAGAACGTATAAAACGACCTTTTTCTTTTGTCTTCTCTTAGACAGCGAACGAACATAACTAATACGACCTACGTAGGCAAGTGGGCCGGCTTCTCTTAGCCCGTTCGTTGAAGCTTTTAGCTTATTACATGATCCTTTCTCTAGACAACGCTCGGTGACCCTGTTAGGTTAGCTCGGTGTCTTGTTTCCTCGTTTTAGAGAGGCTAAAGACAGGTTCTGCTTGATCTCTTCCACGTAGCTGTCACAAGCCTTTCTGCTCAGGTTAGCCGGGCACGTGGGTAATCACGTGCTCACAGGGACTTTCAACGTATCAGACGTTGGAGTCCAAACCATACGAGTACAGGAGGGCATCCTTCTTAGACACATCAATCAGAGACCTAAGGATCGATCACCTTCACGTTCTTATCTTTATTATTTACGTTGTTTACGCGCAGTCATAGCCGCCACTGCTGTAACTCCAGGCTAGCAGTAAGACTGTGCCAGCAGCCGCCTCTGGACCATAACCCTGAGACTGAATATCGGTTTCTTAGTCTTGATTATTAGTCTTTACTCAACTGGGACTACGACTGGGCCGTGGGCTATATTAGGCCTAAGTAGATCCTAAGCTCCACAGCATTGACTACTATAGCACTACAGTACCACAGTACTATGTTACGGTCAGCTATCCGACAGTAGGGTCTGCTAACAGAAGTTGGGGATTGACGTTTAAACAGTACACTGGGGTCGTGGTCGTAGGTCGTAGGTCGTAGGCTGTAGTAGATCAAGTCTTCAGAGGCTAAGGTGATCAG